TAAGTATAGTATAAGTATTCTACAATTATAGTGGTATTTTTACTTAAAATTGGGATTAAGAAAAATTTAAATTAAGTTAAATAATTTAATTTTTGTGGCAGAAATACCTAGCTTAAATTCTGCAGAAACATGTTTATTACTCACTTAATTTTCCCGTTCCATTGTCTTTTATCAAACTACTAAAAAATGAATTGTTGTAAGCCAATAATTTGATTCGGGTCTTATGAAAGTTTTTTACTTTTTGTTTTCCTTCCAAGTCCTAAAAATAATTGCATATAATTGTAAAACATATTATAATATAATATATAATATAATACTAAGAAAAAGATTGTAGTTGTCWAAATATAAAAATAAACAGATTTAAAAAAAGTATTTTTTGGTATACATTTCAAAATCTGAACACAATTAATGTCTTATAAAAAGGTTAGATTTTTATACAATAAAAATATCACAATATGCAATGAAAATCATAGAAAAATGCTACAGATATGCAAAAAAGCTTAAAAAAGGTAATACCTAATTAAAAAAAAATGTAATTTATTAAATCCATTTTTTAATAATGATTGATTTATTAAACATAAAAATAACTAATAAAAATTTAACAGTTTAATAATAAATCATACAAATAATAATTTAGTGAGTGGCTCTGATTTCTGATAGTAAACTTGTATCTAGTCGARTCATAGGTTATTCAAAACTAAAAAGGTGGTCAATTAGATTCCAATTACTATACAGAGGTCAGAGTTGTCACTGTAATAATGAATGTGATAAATTTAATTATTTCTATGAAATATCATATTATACGAAAATAAATTCTGAACGGAGACGGACTGTCTGTCAATAGGTATGAGATATTATTGTACTAATTTTGTTTGTATTATTCAGCCTAGCATATTTTGTATTATATTGTATTATAAATATTTTAAATATATAAACATACCTATATATTATAAATTCATTGTACATTGCTACATTAGTAATTTGTTTTACAATTAATATTATGGTAGTTTGATTTAATTTGTTTCCGAAAAAATCACATAACATATTGTAAAGTAAAATGTTCATAATATATCATATTTTTGGTTCCAGTATATGAACTTTACTTATGAGGAACCTTTTATTAAACTATCAAGCCTAATCTATGCAAATTGAACATTTTATATAATTTTAATTAAAAAATAATTTTCCAATTTTCATGATTTTGATGAATTGTATTTATGTAAGCATTTTAGATTGAAAACAATTGAATAAAATTTAAAAATTGTAAAAATAGTAAAAACCAGAATATTTACAACAAAACTAATATTTTATTTTTGTATTTAAAAAAAGCAAGTAAGTGATGGATGTCGCTCTGCTGTACATGCCGTGGTGGGGTGKACCTCTRACTAGGGTAGGTTAAATTTGAATGCAATGATAGGTATCGTCGCATACGAAAAACTATTCTGAACGGAGATGATTTGTCAGTCTAGGATATATTAAATTTAAATATTGTCATATATTCTATTTTGAAACAAATATTTTATTTTTCAATTAGGACGCATTTTGCATATATGCCTTATAAGGCATGGTTAATCAATTTTTCCAAAAACATTGCATGTAG